CCTCTTTATTCCCTATGGGAGGGGCCATTCACTGTCTACCTGTGGCTTTACTCCCAAGTCGGCCCTTGTTCCTTAGCTGTTTCCTTCTCCTGGCACCTCTGTGCATGCGCACATTGGGAACAGGCTCCAGCTGATATCCGACAAGTAGCTGATACAATAGCCTGTTTTAACACATCTCAGATTTTGTAGGAGTTTCAGTTGTTTCTTTGTTTTCTGTAATATGCTGTTCCTGCTTCTCCTCCTCTCAAGAGTTTCTTAACCAAGATGAAGTTCCTGAGGATAGTTGCTCTGTAATCTGGCCATAGTCCCACTCATTTTTCAAACGAACACTGTTTCTGTCTTCACTTCAGCCTACACATGTTAACAGAGGCGGTTCTTGGTTCCGTACTCAAAACTTCCAGAAGGGGAAATCTGCCAGAATATTTTAGTATGGGCCGAAGTCTCTGGCAGAGCTTCTGACGTGTTCCTTTCCTCTTTTAGATGGGATGATGATGTTGTCTTCAAGAATTGCGCTAAAGGTGTGGACGAGATGAAAAAAGACAAACGATTTGTCAATGACACACTGCGGTCTGAATTTCACAAAAAGTTTATGGAAAAATACATCAAGTAGGATCTCGTTTTTGAATAAGTTGCGTTGCCGATAGGTTGTGTGGCACAAGTCATCTGCCTTCCATCAGAAAAATGGATGGAAATCTGTCAACTGTGTGCAGGTATTCCCCCATGATCATAGGTATCTTTTTAACTTAATTCCTCGTCTGGCATATTTTTGCATGTTTTATTGTTGTAAACTTACCCCCTACCGTTCCTTCCCCCCTTTTCTTGAAGATGTCAATTTCCTTACTGCTATGAAATTTATGTTCACTGGAAAATCATTTTGTAAATGTTTTGAAAACGGCTTTCAATAAACCCTTCACTCACTCATAAGGCTATTTTCTTTGTTAAACCTACATTAGCTTCCCTCTCCTGTACTACAAACTTTGTACTCTCCCTTTACTCGAGATGGGGAAAGCTTGGGTATGTTTTTAGACTCAGCAGTGGTCCTTCTGTCTTCTGTGACATAAAGCATCCTTTATTAGTTCTGGCTGAGGTGTCAGCTTCATGGACAAGCAGATTGACTGATGCACCTAAGCACCAGCAACCTCTGTTTAGAATTTGGCCCTACTTCACCACCAACACCACCATAAAGAAGATAGGGTGGAGAGGATAGGGGTTGGGGGGAAAAAAGGAAAACGACGGTGTCAGGTGGATCATACCCTATTCTGAAAGGTAGGGACCCCGCAGCTGTAATGGTACGTAGGAAAGGCATTGGGAGACAGACTGAAGAGTGGCTGCCTAGGGAACAGTCAGATAAAAGACAGCATGGATAGCAATTGGATAGTTGTTCTGATCCAGCTCTCAAATATGACAAACCGTCTGTAGTTAAACAAATGTTCCCTTTATTAGGTGCGCAAGTAGCCCTGGCAAAAATCTCAAAATCTCTCTCTCTCTCTCCCTCTCTCTCTCCCTCCCTCCCTCCCTCCCTCCNGCACTATCAGGATGTTATGGCGTTTTAGGAGTTTGTTTTCTCCTGTGTGGTTCAGCGTGACTCTGCAACTATATTACAACAATATGCAAAATTCCTTAGTACAGGAACAGTTCACTCGGATATTCTCGGGAATGTTCAACTTTTTTTCTTTCCAGAATGCACCAATTGTCTGTTTTGTGGTGGTCTTTTCTGGATGCGCTCTGGATCTCATTTCACTGAAAGGGGGGCATTTTTCCCTTCCCCCTGCTCTGCTGAAGCCTGCAGATTGCTTCTGGGGGATGAGGAAAGGCAAAAATACCCCTGTTTTTGCAAAAAAAAAAAAAAAAAAAAAGAGGCCCACTTTGTGCTTATTTTTCCCAAAAATGGGATGCGGCGGCGGGACTTCGGAAGGCCAAAAATGGCTGTATTTGGTGTATAAGATGCACCAACATTTCCATGCTCTCTTAGGGGGGGAAGGAAAGGTGCATCTTATACTCCAAAAAATACGGCATGTGTGAGCTATTAAGCAATAGTTTTCGTACCCCTCCTGCCCTGCACAATTTTCCGCCTGAAATTCTTTCTGTGGCTGATTTAACCTCGTTATGTTCCCGTATCCAAGCGGTGTAATGATCTGCTGAGCTTCAGCATTTCTGGAATGTTATGCTTGTCCTGAATTCTGTTTATGAGAATGCTCTATATCTGAAGTAACTAATATGCCTGTCTGGGAAATGACGGCGCTAAATACATGTAGCTTATGTTATGTTATTGAAATTAAAATTATGAGCATGTAGGCATTGAGTTTACCTTTTAGCCAGAAAGCAATGCAAGACAAAATTATATTGAATAACAGCAAAGGCTCAAACTTAAGGTAAATGATTAGTTGTACTGGCTTCTACTTGTAGCTGTTGTTAATAAAACAGTATTTGGGTCACATTGATGAAGTGTAGCATAGGAATAAGATTAAACATTTAAACAACTTTTTAAATACATTAGTTACTTAACTGAAGAATACATACAGGTCTGTTTTAAGTTCTTAACCTGTTTTTTTTAATCATGCAAAGGAATTTTACATATCTCTTTTCCCAAATCTTCTATTACTCTGAGAAAAACTTGAGTGGAAAGTCTAGATTGTCCCACATCCTGAATTTAAATATTACAATTTTTTTTAAATGAGTGTGATTGACTTTTTATCTTAACATTTATGCTTGCTTGATCTCCCTCCAATCTCCAGATTACACTCTATTTGTGGAGGATGCAAGTACTATAATCTTTTACCACCTGGCCCAGACTAAATCGCTTGGTATTCGCTCTCCAATTTCATCCCCAGGATAAGCACTGGAACCATTTTTTTGTTTCCAAGCAAACCCAAGGTTAAAAGTTGAATCTGTCACTCAGGAACCGACGTCTCATATTCCCTGCCATGATTCCCCTTGTCATTTTTATTGTACGTGTGCTGAAAATGAGCATCGTTGGGCCCAGTTTGTGACGAGCAACGTTCTTGGGTGGTTTTAAATAACCTTACCATTATGATATGTATATTTAGGATTTATCAGTAGCATTACCGTTTGACAATCATGTAATTACTGTATTTTTCAGAGTATAAGACGCTCTGGAGTATAAGACACACATTAGTTTTTGGGGAGGAAAAAAGAAAAAATGAAATCTTGCCTCTGTCTACCAGCAGCCATCAGTATTCATCTGGCTAGCGTACTTAGCAAATAGTCTGGTCAGCTTCAGCGCATTAGCTTGATTCAGCACAAACAGCTGATTGGTGGATGGATCGGCCTCCCTGAATACCCCCAATCAGCTGTTCCCAAAGGTGAACTTTATCAACAGGTTCGGTGGTTGTGAGCGCCCGTTCAAGTCTGCAAACATCGCCAAAGCACATTTCCACCGATCTCCGCCCGAAAACGCAATGCACGGAGGCCAAAAATGGGGCGTGCAAAAAAAGGTTGTAAAACAGATTCGGTCACAAGATGGTCTGCTTTACAACTCTTGACGACTTAATGACCGTAATGGGCAGGGTACATGACGGTTGTAAATCGAGAACTACCTGTCATTCGGATTTTCATCCTGAACGGGTAGTTGGTCTTACTACCTCTTCCAATTTCGTGTTTCTGCGTTTCTGAGCCCAACTGGGTGACATAAACTAGATTACTGAAGCCGTTTTTTCTCTGTCTTGTATTTTGGGGTTCCTATCTAAGGTTAGTGTCTAGTGCGAGACCAGAGTTAATTGTGGCATTGCTGTCTCTGATTGGCTTGGTTCATCCCATGAGATCTTGGAGGCTTCAGATTCCTTCCATAAAACAGTATCATTTGAGACGATATCAAAGTGCAATTTTTTTCTGTCACAGCCCCCCTACCCTTTGGGAGACATTCTCTTCCCCAGGATTTGGATGGGCCTGACATGACCTATTGACCAGTTACAAGGCCTTGAAAACGTGTCTTATTCCCCAGGCAAAAATGTTGGATGTGCTCATCTTGAGGTGGCTTTGCTTCAATTTTGCTACCTTGTGGTGTTTTGTTCCTGGTTTTTCTGTTTTTATATATTTTTTAAATTATATGTGAGGTGCCCAGGTCGACCTTTATGAGTTGGCCAGCCATATAAAATCACCGAATGAATAAATAGAATTTCATCTAGAAGTAGCATAGATGGTGTACCCAGAAAATTTAGTTCTGTAGCTTAACACATGAGCAAACAAGTTAGGCTATTAAATGTCTTTGCTGGTTTTTTTGCTCAGATAGAATTTTTTTTTAACCCATCTAATTTACCCCATTTTGCCTTCTGGGCAGAAGTAGAAGATATGGTGTAGCTAGACCCTTTTTTAATAACAGTTTTAATAACTGTTAGGTGATAACCAGGCGTTGCCCAGGGTATTTATTTATAGGGGGAAAATGTCCAGACCAAACATAATCTCTAATGTTGGATTTTCCCCCCTTACCAGAGAGAGCCCCCTTGTGGAGTACTGGGAGGCCATTACCATGGCAACTCCTCTGCACTGTACAGTAGAAGCCATTTTACGGCCATCCAGTAGAAGCCATGTTAAGGCACAACAGGCTGTATCTTGACAGAACACACACCCCGAGGGGTTTTAGGGGTGTCTTACCCCCACAGTGTTTGTTTCCAGAGCATAAGAGAGGGAAGTTCCAGAGGGCTGGGCAGCATTGTTTAGGGCTTGTCCCTCCTGTAGCCATCTGTTGTGTACGCAGGGTTGGAAAGATGCACCCAAAATTTCCTGGAACAAGGTATGATACTTAAGATAGGACATTGGGATTTTATTTTGGTAAGTCCTTTGTCAAGGTTCCAAGTTACAGACCCAACGCAATTAAATCTCTCAGGCCTAGTGTTCTGACCTAGGCTTCCCAAGATCATGAAGCCAACTCGTCATCCCGATAAAGCCCCATTTATTTAGTTTAAAGGGAATTCCTCTCCAGCAAAGTCCCGGCCAACAATCTTGCAAGAGATTTCACAACTACAGACCTTGATCAGGCTTGGAGAGCTGCCAGGCCGATATCTTCCAAACGCCA